GATGAATGGAAGGGTGGGAGGTAGATAGATGAATGAATGGATGGGAGGGTAATTGGATGGAAGAGTAGGAAGTTGAAAGAATGGATGGATAGATGGATGGATTGATGAATGGAAGGAAGAAAAAAATGAATGACAAATGGATGGCAAAACCTAAATCCTCTTCTCTCCCTTACATTCTGGGATTCCAAAGGCTGCTTACAGTTCCATCAGCTTCTCAGGGGCCTGTCAGGCATCAGTTCCTACCTTTCAGACTTATTAGCATGAGTTTGTAAATAGCCGAAACTGTCAGATGGGCACCAATCCCTTGGAGATGGGAAGCTTAGAGGCATCCCCTAGCATGGGGCTTATTAGCAGAATTTATATGAGACATCTGCAGTCCCTTGGCAGGGGGCAGAGAGAGTCGATTCGGCATGAGACAGCAGGGGCAGGCTCTGATGGCACGCTTGGGGCCTCCCGACTAGCACAAGGGAGTCCCAGAGGGCAACTTCAAACACGCAGCATTCACTGCCCCCAAGCAAGCAGGTGCTTGCTGGGATTTTCAGTACGCTAGGGAGACTCACCTTTGTGACAACCGCTGAGGGTTGCCCGGAGGGGTCCTCCTGGGGGCTGGAGGAATCCTCCGAGGGGCACCAGCACAGGGTGTGCGCATAACTGGAACCAGCTCTGGGCCTGTTGGCATAGCTGTCCCACCAGTGCTGGATGTGAGGTGGCGAAGAAATGGAGTCTGGCCAGCAGTTCTGTGTACAGGAGGCTCCTCTCTGCAACAAAGGGATGTAGACTAAGTTGCCTGGATTGAGCTCCCCGTACCCTCCTGCCAATTGAGTCTCCACTCCCTGCAGGGGCTCCAGGACAAAAGAAAAGACACAATACCTCAGCTACTGGCCTCTGCTGTCCTCTCCTGTCTCCTTCTCTGCTCTCCAGACACACTTACCTTGCTTCAATTGCACCCAGCTGTTTCCAGTCTCCAGCCTTTGCCCGTGTGGCCTAGAATGTTTCCCTTCCCTTTCCTTTTCTTCCTGCCTCCCTCCTTCTCTCCCTCCCTCCCTTCCTTTCTTCCTTCCTCTTTTATCATACTCTGTTGTCCCGGCTGGAGTGCAGTGGCACGATCAAAGCTCACTGCAGCCTCAAACTTCTGGGCTCAAGCAATCCTCCCATCTCAGCCTCCCAAATACTAGGGACTATAGGCATGTGCCACCACGCTCAGCTAATTTATTTATTTTATTTTAGTTTAGTTATTTTTGAGATGGAGTTTCAGCCTGTCACCCAGTCTGGAGTGCAATGGCGCAATCTTGGCTTACTGCAACCTCCAGCTCCCAGGTTCAAGTGATTCTCCTGCCTCAGCCTCCCGAATAGCTGGGATTACAGGCTCCTGCCATCACACCCAGATAATTTTTGTGTGTTTAGTTGAAACGGGGTTTCACCATGTTGGCTGGGCTGGTCTTGAGCTCCTGATCTCAAGTGATCCATCTGCCTCGGCTGCCTAAAGTGCTGGGATTACAGGAGTGAGCCACCGTGCCCAGTTATTTATTTTTTTAGAGACAGGGTCTCGCTCTGTCACCCAGGCTGGAGTGCAGTGGCACGATCACAGCTCACTGCAGCCTCAAACTCCTGGGCTCAAGCGATCTTCCGGCCACAGCCTCTTGGGTAGTTGGAACTGCAGGTGCACATCACCACGCCTGGTTAGTTTTTTGTTTTTTGTAGAGACGGGGTCTCGTTATGTAGCCCAGGTTGGTCTCAAACTCCTGGACTCAAGGTATCCTCCTTCCTTGACCCCTCAAAGCTCTGGAATTATACGTGTGAGCCACTGTGCTCAGACCCAATCTTTTCAATAAAAGCAGGATCAGAGGAGGGATATATTGGAAATCTTTGCACCTTTCACTCAATTTTGCTGTGAACCTAAAACTGTTCTGTAAAATATGGGCTATGAAGAAAAATTAGCCGGGCATAGAGGCACGGGCCTGTAATCCCAGCTACACGGGAGGCTGAGACAGGAGAGTCGCTGGAACCCGGGAGGCAGAGGTTGGGTGACAGAGCGAGACCCCTTCTCAAAAAAAAAAAAGGACTCGTGATCGCGTTGGATCATTTAGGATGTGATGTCGAATGTTCCCCATTTCCCAGCTTGGATGTTCGGAGAGCACATGGTTGTCCAGCAGCGCCCTCTGGTGATAACATTTGTTCCTACTAATCCTCCTTGGTGCTGGAGTTGCCACAGGTTGTCAATCAAGGGGCTTTGCAAGGGACGTGCTGAGAGATCTGGGCTTTTAAATCTTCCTTAAACTGGGAAGTCATGCCCAAGGCTGTTTTCCTGGGAAGTTGCTCCATCAAGGTTTACAACTCCTGGCGAGCTCCTCTCGCGTTATTTTTCTTTCCGGTTGCCTTAAATTCCAGTTGTTTGGTATGCTGTTCTATCTCCTTCTCTTTATTTATTTGTGTATTTTGAGACAGAGTTTTGCTATGTCGTGCAAGTTGGAGTGCAGTGGCGTGATCTCGGCTCACCGCAACATCTGCCTCCTGGGTTCAAGCAATTCTTGTGCCTCAGCCTCCCAAGAAGCTGGGATTACAGGCATGCACCACCACACCCGGCTAATTTTTGTATTTTTAGTAGAGATGGGGTTTCACCATCACCCAGGCTGGTTTCAAACTCCTGGCCTCAAGTAATCTGCCTGCCTCAGCTTCCCAAAGTGTTGGGGTTACAGGCGTGAGCCACTGTGCCCAGCCATCTATTTATCTATTTTTAACTAGTTAATTTTTTTATAGAGATAGGGTCTCGCTGTGTTGCCCAGGTTGGTCTTGAACTCCTGCCCTCTAGCAATCCTTCTGTCTGAGCCTCCCAAAGTGCTGGGATTAGAAACGTGAACCCCCGGACTCGGCCCCATCTCCCTCTCTTAAAGGCTGAGACAAACATTAACTATGTTTAGGTCCCAGTGGGAGCTGGGGTAATGGCAGGTAATCAGTAGGGATTGTGTGAATGTGTAAGAGAGGCATAAGTGATTACAGACACCATCATCTTCATATTGGGTGGAGTTCTGGACACATTTTAGTTCAATCGCACATTTTGCAGTTGACACAAATAGGGTTTCAGGGCAGAAATAGCCCATCCAAGGCTGTTCATGTCAACAGTGCTATTATGTGACAGTAACAGGACCTTAGATGGCATCATGGGTGGAGGTTCTGTGTGAATTGATGTACATACTCTTCCCAGCAGCCCTAGGTGGGATGGTCACTCAGCATCCCTATTTTGCAGATGCGAAAACTGAGGGCTGTGGGGCACGGGGAGGGATGGTAAAGGGTCTGCAAGGTCACACTGCCAGAAGTGGCAGCACCAAGATTTCAATCGACACAGTAGAGCTCAAAATTTGTGGTCTTGACCATGACTGGTCTATGTGTGTATTAGTCCGTTCTCATGCTGCTAATAAAGACATACCCAAAACTGGGTAATTTATAAAGGAAAGAGGTTTAATTGGCCAACAGTTTCGCAGGGCTGGGGAGGCCTCAGGAAACTTACAATCATGGTGGAAGGGGAAGCAAACATGCCCTTCTTCACAAGGCAGGAGGAGAGAGAAGAATGAGAGCTGAGGGAAGAGGGAAGCCCCTTATAAAACCATCAGGTCTCTGCCACTTCTGCTGCCACTTCTGGGCTGATGGCCAGGAGAATATAGAGAAGCAGACAGTTCAAGGATGCTTTGCAGAGCCAGGATTAGAAGCTCTGCATAGGAATTACAGGCCACTGGTCATCCTTCTTAACATGCTATTCACATCCATGGGGAAGCACTTTGGATACAGAGACTTAAACATCTTGAATACTCTCCCTTCCTTTGTGAACTCACCTCACAATTTATTGCCCTTTGTTAACATGGTATTTAAGGCCCCAGGTCTAAACACTCCTCTGAGTTTTCACTTATCTTCTGTGAAACTTCTGTGCATAAAAAATTAAAACATGTGAGCCCTTTCTCCTGTAAAGCTGTCTTTTGTTAGTTTAATTCACAGGCCCCTATCACTGAACATAAAAGGGTAGATAAAAAGATATTATTTATTGTCTCCCATAGTTTGATTGTAAAATGGTGCAGCTGTTGTGGAAAATGAAGTGGTGGTTCCTCAAAAAGTTAAACACAAAATTGCCATGTGATCTAGTGATTCCTTTTCACGACAGCCAAAAGTAGAAACACACAAATAAATGTCCCCAGACAGATGAATGGATAAACAAAATGTAGCATATTCATACAATGCAATATTATTCAGCCTTAAAAAGGAAGGAAATTCTTAGCCAGGCATGGTAGCTCATGCCTGTAATCCCAGCACTTTGGGAGGCCAAGGTGGGCAGATCATGTGAGGTCAGGAGTTCGAGACCAGCCTGGCTAGCAGAGCAAAACCCCATCTCTACTAAAAAATACAAAAATTAGCTGCATGTGGTAGCACATGCCTGTAATCCCAGCTACTCTGGAGGCTGAGGCAGGACAACTGCATGAACAACCCAGGAGGTGGAGGTTGCAGTGAGCTGAGATTGTGCCACTGCACTCCAGCCTGGGTGACAGAGTGAGACTCTGTTGTGCAAAAAAAAAGAAAAAAAAGAAGGAAATTCTGACGTATGTTACGATGTGAATGAAACTTGAGGACATTGTGCTCAGTAAGAGAAGTCAGAGAGTAAAGGACAAATACTGTAAAATACCATTTATATGAAATACCTAAAGCAGTCATATTTATAGAGACAGAAAATAGCATGGTGGTTGCCAGGGACTGGGGTAAAGGGAGAA